GCATTGCAAGGGCTTGGTGCTCCCAGAGGGACACTCAAGGCTATTAGCAGAGCACTGCTCACTGCACAGRTAGCAGGACAGGTAGCAAGACACACAGGTTGTCTGTGTCTGGGAGAATGCACAGTGTGGTGAGTGGAAGCAAAGGGCAAACTAAGAATGATGTTTCTTGTAGTGGTGCAAAGCCGGATCAGGAGAAACATGACACAAAATATATTCCAGAATGGAGCAGTCCATCTGCCTTACAGAGCCCTCCTGCCCAGTACCAAGATGGCAGAGGGACAGTAGAGGGGCTCCTCTGTGTGTCCCCAGGCAAGCCAAGAGGCAGATGATATTCTGGGACCTTCCATGTGGTCAGGAGCACGCAGAAGAGCTCCCTACTTGTTGCCCAACAGAATACATGAGAGCAGGTCCTGCAGCACATGGCAGAGCTGTTACTTGGTGTGTCCCCAGTGAAAACACAGATGGGCAACTCGGCAAGGGGGCCCAGACACCCCCAGCAATGCCCACCCCAGCGTTGCACCAGGGCCCCAGTGGAGCACAGCTCCAGTCCCTCCCGACAGGGTGGTGGGAACAGAGGGCAGGGATGTTGGAAAGGTGCCCAGACAGCTGCTGTGCTCCAATGACCGTGTTGCCACAATTCCCACCCGACAGCAGGGTCTGCACCTGCAGCCTGCCCACCCCAAGGTACAGGTACAGCAGGTGCTAACCCTTGTGACACAGAAAGTCACAGCTCCTGCTCACGTGGGAGCCCCGCCCTTGGATGCAAAGGATGCATCTCTTCTTCCCARGCTTGAACTGAAATCTCTCCTGGAGAATTCTGGTCCTGCTGACACCACTGTCATGTTCCTTCTACCTGTCTTTCCAGTGCAGTCACCCAAAGGCTGGTGACTGGAGCATGGCAACAGTGGTGGCATAGCAGAAAACCAGGAGCACTTCTGCAAAGTGCACAGGGTGTGTGGCAGAGCAGGGTGAGGGGCAGACAGAGCAGGGATGAGCTGTGTGGCTGCACAGAGCAGTTGCACCCACATAGGCAGTGCAGGAAACAGCTCTAGTTATTTTCCATCATCCTGCACTTCTGGTGAAAACACCACTGTTCRGATGTTAGATTGACTCGATGACATTTGGAGTTTCCTCTGGTCAAAGGGGTCCACAAAAACCCAAAATTCAAATTAAATTGGAAAGAGGTGAGGAGCAACAACTTCTCTGTTCTACAGGAGAAGGTGAAAGCCAGAAGTGACCTGTGAAAGTCCCTTAAAGTCCCTCTGTCCAGGAAAATGAGATGCTATGAGGACACCCAAGGGGCTACAGCCCCTGGTATTCTCCTCCTGGTGGGCTGAGGTGGAGGAGCCAGGGGCTGTTCCACTCCCCCCGGGGAAAGGTGGTCCCCAGTAAGGAGCTGTGCAAGCAGTCCAGGGCTCAGCCTTTGGTGCTGCCAGCTCTCCTCACTCTGCTTCTCCGGGTGCTGATGGAGCAAGCAACCGGCAGATATGTCTTGGAAGGAGAGGATGAAGGACAGGGGGGATGAAGGCAGGTGCAGAACAGCCACCACCTTGGCTCTCAGCGCCCTGGCCAGGCTATCCTGGCTGCTCCCACAGGCGGCAGCTCAGCCCAGGGTGTCTCCTACAGGCACCACCTGCCACAGTCCCCAGTTCTGCCTCCCCAGCCTCTCCAATTGCCCCCAGTGGCATCTTCCTCACCCTCCTCGGCCACATCCCCCCGCTCCTCCGCTCCTGCATGCACTCGCATTCCCGGGCTGTGGGAACATCGCCTCCCTCCCCAGGGGAATCTTCGTGTCCGAGCCCCCTGAACTCGTAACAGGCACCTCGATTGCGTACCCACCACCAACCTCGCCCCCTCCCCGCCCGGCGGAGCTGCCGGGGAAACGGTGCCGTGAGCACATTAGGAAGACAGGAGGCTGAAGGAGCCCGGACAGCGCCGGGATACGCGAGAGAGGGGCCAGGGCTCCAGCCCTTCGCCCGGCGAGACCGCGGCTCCATCGGCACCGGTCGGTGGCTCCTCCGGTAAYATCCGCTGGAGACGGTGCCACGGAGGCACCTCTCCCGTGGCCCCTCCGCCCCGGTATTCGAGARGACAGGGTGAGTAGGAGTGCCCGCGGCAGGGACCCCTACGGTGGTGCCGGCGGCCGGTACCCGAGGCCGGTACCCGGGGCCGGTACCCGGGGCCCCATTGTGCGGGCGGCGGCGGCGGCAGCGCCCCCGGTGAGCGGCGCGGGCAGTGCAGGCGGAGAGAGAAAAACAAGTTTGATTGGCAGTGATGGAGCCACGGCGCCTCCCGCATCCCGCACAAAGGGGACGGGGACAGCGCTGCCGCACCGGGACCGGCAWMGGCACCGGCACCGGGAGCAAGACCAGGACCAAGACCAAGCCGCCGGGCGCGGCTTCGTGAGAGCGCAGCCTCACCGGTCCCGCGCAACGCCAGCGGGAATGCCCCGGCCTGCTGGTGCCGCAGCCGTGCCGGCCCGGTGGCGGCGAGCAGGGCGAAGCCCGGTGCTCCGGTACACGCTCCGGTGGTGGCGGCGAGGCGGGTCCTACCTGCCCCGGCAGCCGCTGGCATCGGCTTCCTCGGGGGTGCTCCACGCTCTGGGGACACACGATCATGGTGAGCCCGTGCCGTGCCGTGCCGTGCCGTGCCGTGCCGTGCCGTGCCGTGCCGTGCCGTGCCGAGCGCAGTGCCGGTGCCCGGTGCCGGTGCCCCCGCCCGGTGCGGCCGCCGGCAGCGCAGAGCCGGCACCGCGGCAGGCACGGGGGGCGGGCCCGCCTGCGCCAATCGCCGCCGCCAGGGGGCGGCCGCCGCCGCACCACGTGGGCAGGGCTGGAAAGTTACCGGCGGCAGGCGAGGAGGCCCCGCCCCCGGCACGGGTGGGCGGGGCCAGGTGCTCCGACCGCTGGGGGGCGCTGCCGCCTCTCCCGCGCACCGCGGGACG